GGCATTCAATGCAGCTTACCTTTCGTCTATAACCTTCGTTTAGGATGCAATATCTTATGATAGCATTCGGTGCAGCTTACCTTATGGTTGTCTTACTTTGAGATGCAAGGGGCTGGGCTCCGGCCCGCCCGCGCCGCCCCTAAGGGGCCTGCCAGCCCGTGAGGCGTTTTCCCACAATCGGGGAAGCACGGGAGACCTTCTGAGAGTTATCGGTGAAACTCTCACCACAATTTGGAAGACCTGGTCAGCTCCCCGTCAGGCGTTTTTCCGCAATCGGGGAAGCATGCAAGACCTTCTGAGAGTTATCGGTTTAGCCCTCAGCATTCGAGAAAACTGGACGTCCCAAGTGGTCCCAAGACGGTTCAAGAGGGCCCCAAGACAGTCCAAAAGAACCCCTAAAAGGCCCCAAGAGGACGGCCCAGAAGACCCAGGGCAAATAAAGAGTGATCGGTAACGCAGAGAGCTCATCACGCCAAGGCTCCCAACGGCGAAAGCGGGGAGAGACGGCTTTGTCCCGATACCGTCAAGACGGCCTACAGGGCCTTCTCTTGGCGGCCTGTTGGGGCTCTCTTGGCGGCCTCTAGGGGTTTTCTTGGGAAGCTCGTGGTGCTTTCTTAGGGCTCTCTCGGTGTCGTCTTGAGGCCCTCTCGGGCCGTCCTGGGGACCTCTTGGCCAGCCACCAACAGGCTTCCAAGAGGTCCGCTCCCAAGAGGCCGAGGCGGAAGGGGTGGAGGGGGAAGGGGGGATGGATGGGGAATGAGGCAGAGGGGGAGTAGGAGGAGGAGGAGGAGGAGGAGGAGGAGGGAGGAGGAGGAGGAGGAGGAGGAGGAGGAGGAGGAGGAGAGGAGGAGGAGGAGGAGGAGGAGGAGGAGGAAGGGGGAGGGGGAGGGGGAGGGGTGGGAGGAGGAGGAGGAGGAGGATGAGGGAGAGGAGGAGGAGGAAGGAGGAGGAGGAGGAGGAGGAGGAGGAGGAGAGGAGGAGGAGAGGAGGGAGGAGGAGGAGGAGGAGGAGGAGGAGGAGGAGGAGGAGGAGGAGGAGGGAGGAGGGGAGAGGAGGAGGAGGAGGAGGAGGAGGAGGAGGAGGAGGAGGAGGAGGAGGAGGAGGAAGAGGTGGACGATGAGGATGAGGAGGAGCAGGAGGCAGGAGGGGGAGGAGGATGATGAGGAGGAGGAAGAGGAGGAGGGGGAGGAGGAAGAGGTGGAGAAGGAGGAGGAGGAGGAGGTGACAAGTCGTTCAACGCCACGGCTCTCGGGAGCGCGGGGAATTGGAAAAAAATCTTAACGCCAAGGCTACCGCTAAGAACGATGACGTAACGAGTTTCGATCACCAAGGTTGCGATTGCGCACAGTGGTGTGAAACATCGCTTCCAGCGCCAAGGCTGTGATTACGCGAGCTATCGCGGGCAAGTTCTTGAAACGCCCTTTCCGTTCCCGTGCTGGTCCACGTGACGGAAAGAACCAGGTACGAGTGATGACGTTGTGTTTGGGCGAAGGCCTCGAGGGAGGGGTCCTGGGGAGGGGGGTGGGGCGGATGAATGAGTGTGAATGGCCGCTCGGGGCGTGTTGGGGGTCTCTTGGGCGCTTCTTGGGCCGTTTTGGGCGCTCACGACGGTCCAAGAGGGGTTCAAGACGGCCGAAGATACTTCCAAGACGCCCAAGAACGCTCCGAGAGAGTCCACGACCGCCCAAGACTGCCCAGGGGGGCTCCACGACGCCCCACAAGGCGCCCACGGTGCGCCCCCAAACGCTAAAAACCATTGATTTTCCTAAGGAAAACGTGCATGTTGAGTATGCGCGAGTTTTCGGCCTCCACGGCGTCAGTGACGGCCCAAGAGGCCCCCAAACCCGCTCCAGGACGGCCCAGGGTGCGCCCAAGAGGATCAACACAGCCCGAGAGGGCCCTAAGCCGACCCAAGAGGCGCCCAAGACGGCCCAAGGGACGCGGATGTGGCGGTCGACGACGGGGAGACGAAAAGGGTTAGGACAATGTACTGCGCGACGTGCAGCCATGTCAAAGCCAAGCAAAAGTCGCGGAAAGGCAACGCGAAGTGGAACGAGAGCGTGGAACGAACGCGCCCGCGATGTACGAACGATAAGTGCCTGTCGCTGTATGACGGAAAGGCGGAGATGTCAGAAGCTCAGAAGAAGCACAAAACTGCGGGGGAGAGGCTCTGTCAGAAATGCGTGGAACAACGAGAGAGAGAGAGAGAATATATAGAGAGAGAGAGAGAGAGAGAGAGAGAGAGAGAGAGAGGTGCGACGGGGCAATGCGGAGGCAGCGAATCGCAAACGGAAAGCCGAGGCGGACGCGAAGCCGCTGACGTGCGCGACGTGCGGAGGAGCGTTCTCGGACACGAAACATTTGAAGCCCAACCAAGTGGAACATCATCGAAAGGCGAAAGGAGCCAAAGTGGTGTGCGGAGGCTGCAAGGACTTCGGGTTCACAGCCCGCAGTTGCCAGCCGTATCAGTGCAGCGGCGCGTGCGAGAGAAGGCTACCGAAGTCGGCGTTCCCCGACCCGCACATTGTCCCGCGAGACGCCAACAAAAGGCACCCTGAAGTGCAAGACATGCAACTGATGTCGAATCGGGCACGCGTGCTGGTGAGAAGAGGAGGACGGGACAGGCGAATGGAGATGAGTCGGAGGATAGGGGGGGGGGCGAGTCATCGAATATGACGAGGCGAAGCGGACCAGGAACACGAGGAGGGGGACGAGGAGGAGGGGAACGTGGCGAGGGTGGAGGAGGACGAGGAGGAGGGGGACATTGAGATGAGGCTCTGAGTTATGGTCTATGGGTGAGAAAATTCTTGTATGTGTATAGCGATTTATGGTCTATGGGTGAGAAATTCTTGTATGTGTATAGCGATTTCGCGGCACGCCTTTCGGGGACCTCTGGAAAACAGTTTTGAAGCCACTGGGGGGCCGAGTTGGACAAGGACGGTGAGGAGGAGGATGAGGGGCACACGGAGGAAATGAAGAACGGGGGGGAAAGAATCGACGAGGATGAGGATGAGGAGAGGGAGGCAAAGGAAGAATGGGCGAGGGGCTTCTCGCGGGACTTTTGGAGGCAGTTTCGAAGCCTCTTGGGGGCCGTTTTGGGACCGTTTGGGGCTCTTTTGGGGGCCTTTTGGGGCTTTTTGGAGGCGTCTTGGGGGCCTCCTGAGGCCTCTTGGGGCCTTCTGGGGCCGTCTTGGGGCGGAAGGTTCGGATTGTCGGTTCAAGCTCCCCCTCTTAGACCCCTCGTGGGGCCGTCTTGGGCAGTCTTGGGGGCCTATTGTGCCGTTTTGGCGCCCTCTGGGGCCGACTTGGGCGCCTCTTGGGGGCCTCTTGGGCCTTCTTGGAGCGGTCTTGGGGTGCTCTTGGACGGTCTTCAAGGCCGTGAAGGCCGACAAGTCGTGTATTATCAAAACATACGTTTTCCCATAGGAATTTCACAATTTTCAGCTCGTAGGCCCTTCTGAGGGCTGCTCTTGGAGGCCGCTTGGGCCGTCTTGGAGGTCTCTTGGCTCGTCATGGGACCATCTTGGGCGTTTTGGAGCGCTCGTGTGGCGTCTCGGGGCCCTCGTGGGCCGTCTTGGAGGCGTCTTGGGACCTTCTTGGCCCGTCTTGAGCCCCTTTCGGGCCCAAAAAAGCCCGTGAGTCGCTCGTCCGGGGCCCGGGGGGGGGGGTCAAATCGCCGGTTTGGGGTCCCTGGGGGGGGACTTTTGGGGGGGGGAACTATCTCACACGCCTAGAGACCCACAAGGGGTCGGCGGATTATGATCATGATGATGATGCTTATGCTGATGATGATGATGATGCTGCTGCTGATGATGATGTTGTTCATGAGGATGATGCTGCTGATGATGATGATGATTATGATGATGATGCTGATCCTGATGATGAGGATGATGATGATGACGATGATGATGATGGTGATGAATGATGATGATGATGATGATGATGATGACGGACGACGACGATGACGATGATGATGATCATGATGATGATGATGATGAGGATGATGATGATGATGATGACGATGATGATGATGATGATGATGATGATGATGATGATGATGATGATGATGATGATGCTGATGATGATGATGATGATGATGATGATGATGATGATGATGATGATGATGATGATGATGATGATGATGATGATGATGATGATGATGATGATGATGATGATGATGATGATGATGATGATGATGATGATGATGATGGTGGTGGTGGTGGTGGTGATGGTGGTGATGGTGATGATCATGGTAATGATGATGACGATAAGTATGGTGGTGATGGTGGTGTTGATGACTACGATGGTGGTGATGATGGGGAGGAGGAAGAGGATGAGGAGGAGTTGGCAGGGGGAGGGAGGAGGAGGGGATGAGGAGGACGGGGTAAGTACGGAGGAGGAGGAGGAGGAGGAGGAGGAGGAGGAGGATGAGGAGGAGGAGCAGGAGGAGGATGAGGAGGAGGAGTAGCACGAGCAGGGGTGGGAGGGGATGGGGAGAGTTCTGTGCAGATCCCTTTGCAGGCCTCCAGAGGCTCCGACATTTCAGTGAATGCCGCGAAAATACTGGGTCCTCATCCTCGCACGTCGCTCTTTCATTCCTCGCTCATCCTCGCCCTTCCTCCTCCCTCCTTGCTCTTCCTCCTCGCTGCTCGCTGCTCGCTCCTCGCTTCTCCTGTTCCTCTTTTCCCCTCCTTATCGCACCTCCTCCTCCTCCTCCTCCTCCTCACTACCCCCCTTCTGTCCTTCCTGTCCTCCTCGCTCCTCCTCCTCCTCCTCCTCTTTCTCCCTCTCCTCCTCCTCGTCCTCCTCGTGAACGGCCTTGTAGGTTCTACCTGCCCAAGGTGGCAGCTCAGGCTGCCAGCTGTCGGGAGGGTTGTGCACACTGTGGCCTGGTCGTTGATGTGGAACATCCTCCTCGTCCTCGTCGTCCTGCGGCTCCTCCTCCTGCTCCTCCTCCTTCTCCTCCTTCCCCTCCTCCTTCGCGCAGACGGGAACCCGAGGCCGCCGAGTTCGACGAGATCTACGGCCTGCGGGGCACCGCCATCCCCACCGCCCGGCCGAACGTCCGCCGCGACTACCCCGACGTCGTGTATAGGACCGAGGAGGCCGGGGGGGGTGGGGGGCAGATGTTTCGTCCTGGGAGGAGGAGGAGGAGGAGGAGGAGGAGGAGGAGGAGGAGGAGGAGGAGGAGGAGGAGGAGGAGCTGCCCCTTGTCGCCCCCCTTCTCTCTGGACCCTGCGCGGGTTGGAGGAGGGGCCGAGGGCCGAGGCCCTCGCCCCCTCGCCTGAGAAAGCAGAGCCAGGTCGGTCTCGGTGCCGAGCCGAGCTGCTCCGTCCTTGCCCTTGTTGCGAAGGCCTCACGGCCAGTGCCGCCGACCCGGATTGGCGACGACGACGACGACGACCTTCTTCCTCCCCACCTCTGCCCCCGAGCGTCGGCGTGCTCTCCTCGCCTGCCTCGTCGATCTCCCCTGCCGTGCGTCCTGGACGGAACATTCATCGCCGAATCACCTCGCCCCGCATGCGTGTGCGAGTGTCGCGCGTGCTGGCGGCTCGGAGTGCAAGACCAGAGGGAGTCTGGAGCGGGAGGCCAGTTTTGACAGTCTTCCATTCGCGCGGCCGTTGCACATGTTCACTGGGTTGCCTTCGGACCATCCCGCCATTATGGCTGGGCAGTCGACAAGAGGTCATTTGGAGTCCTCTTGTAATCCTTGGGATGCCTCCTGGGGGCCTCTTGGGTGCATCTTTGGATGCCTCTTTCAATTGCTAATGGGAATCGGGGAGGATGAGGAACGAAGTGAAAGGAGGATGATGATGAGAAGGAGGGGGAGGACGAGGGGGACGAGGATGAGGAGGAGGAGGAGGAGGACGAGAAGGAGGAGGAAGGGGAGCAGGAGGAGGACGGGGGAGGAGGAGGGGGATGACGAGGAGGAGGAGGAGCATGGGGACGAGGAGGAGGAGGAGGAGGAACATGAGGAGGAACATGAGGAGGATGAGGAAGAGGAGGAGGAGGAGGACGAGGAGGACGAGGAGGACGAGGAGGACGGGGAGGATGATGATGAGGAGGAGGAACGAGGAGGGGAACGCGGAAGGGAAGGAGCGAGGAGCGAGGATGGGGAGTGAGACGGAGGAGGAGGAGGAGGAGGAGGAGGAGGAGGAGGAGGAGGAGGTTTCCAGAGGTTTCTGGAGGTCCCCAGAGGCTAGACGTTGACGTCGTCGTCGTCGTCGTCGTCGTCGTCGGGCTCGTCAACGTCGTCGTTCTTGTGGCCAGCTGGTTGCAGAGTCGGCGAGTGTTTCACCCCAGGAGGGGTGGCCTCCCTTTTGCCTTGCCACATCTATCTCGTGTGCTCCTGCACCACGGGCCTCGGCATTCTAATTGCGTGCTTCGTCAACGTCGTCGCGGTCGTCTTTGTCGTCATCCTCGTCGCCGTCGTCGTGGTCCGTCGTCGCCGACGTCCCTGTCGTCCTCGTCCTTCTCCTCCCCACGCGGCGAGGCAAAGCTGGAGGCCATCGTCGACGAAATCGTCCTGAACAACGAGCGCAACGGGCGCCCGATCCTCGTAGGCTCCTGGGGAGCGGGGGGAAAGACGGGGGAGGCACGGGGGAGGATACGTAAACGGGACCCTCAAGCTGTCTGGACCAGGGGCGGCACCATGCGGACCCATGTGCCGCGCCGCACGGCACTCTGGGCGGCTCTCGGGGCGAAGTGTAACGGCCGGGGCTGGGGCGCACGCGTGCGCGGGTGCTTCACCCCACCGTGCCCTCGCCGCCTCTGGTGATCACTCCGTGCCTGCCTCTCGAAGGCCTGGCGGTCCATGCTCGAGCGCGCTCAGCGCTCGAGTCGCCGTTCCTCCTGGAGCCTCAATCCTCTTGTTGGTATGTGTGGCGGTGTGACCGCCCAGCTGCTCATCGTCGAATTATTCGGCGTCTGAGCGTCCCTCCTTCCTCTCGGCCGTCCCCCCCCCTCCTTGCTTGCACGCCGGCCAATTCGCTAGTTGGTGTCCCTACCTAGCTGCTCGCTGGAGCGGGTTTCGCCGCCTCGCCGCTGAAAAACAAGTGTGGCGGTGTGACGGCCGCAGAGTGGCCGATGTGGCAACCCGGCTTCGGATGCACGAGTCACGCCGGGAGGCAGGTGTTGCCAGAAGTGACCCTGGACCAAGGGGGCCCCGAGCTTTGGGTTCAAGTTTTTGGAGCCCCTGGGGCCCTCTGGACCTCGTGAGGGGTGCTCTGGAGGCAGTGGGGCCTCAGTGGAAACTCTGGGGGCACCTCGGGCCAGGGGCACCTCTCTAGCAACACCGGGGGGGGGGCGCGGGCGAGGGGAGACGCGGCGGCGGAGGGGCGCCGAGCCCCGAAACACCCAGGGGGGTGGCGGCCACGCAGGCGGGAAGCGGGTTCGGGGGCGAGCTGGCCCAGGAAGGCGCTTCGCAGTGCACCCCCGCAGCTGAGGCCGAAGCCAGAGTTGAGGTGCACAGAAGAGCGGAACGGGCCCATCGTCGTCGTCGTTCTCCTCCTCCTCCTCCTGATCCTGCTTCTCCTCCTGCTCCTCCTCCTCCTCCTGCTCCTCCTCCTGGTCCTGCTCCTCCTGCTCCTCCTGCTCCTCCTCTTCCTCCTCCTCCTCATCCTCCTCGTCCTCCTCCTCCTCCTCCTCCTCCTCCTCCTCCTCCTCCTCCTCCTCCTCCCCGTCCTCCTCCCCGAAGAACTGGGATGGTTTCGCCTTCAGGTTTGGTTGACAGCCCATCGGTGAGCGGTGCTGCAGCCTTCCCTGGAGAAGGAAGTCGGCCTCCACCGCTGAGCCCTCGCGGGCCTAGTGCGGGCTCACTGTGGCCTCCCGACCTGACCCAGGAGCAGACAGTCCACCACGATCTTGGCTGTAAGTCTGGCTTCGGAGGCCTGGTGGTGGTGGTGACTCGTCGTCGTCGTCATCATTATCATCGTCGTCGCCATCGTTGCGGTTGCGGTCGTCTCTGGACGTCCTCGCGGAAGCAGAGTCTGATTACAGAGGCAATGATTGTCGCGGTCGTCGCCGTTGTCGCTGTGGTCGTGGTCGCTGTTGTCGTCGCTGCCGTGGTCATCGTGCGCGTCGCCGTCGTGGACGTGGTCGCCGTGGTCGTCGTGGCCGTGGTGGTCGTCGTCGCTGTCGTCGTCGCCGTCGTGGTCGCAGTCGGCTTGGTCGGCGTGGTTGTTGTTGTCGTCGTGGGTGTGGTCGCCGTGGTCGTGGTCGTCGTAGTCGTCGTGGTCGTCGTCGTGGTCGTGGTCGTCGTCGTGGTTTTCGTAGTCGTCGTCGTCGTCGTCGTGGTCGTCGTCGTGGTCGTCGTGGTCGTCGTGGTCGTCGTCGTCGTCGTGGTCGGCGTCGTCGTCGTGGTCGTCGTGTTCGTGGCCGTTGTCGTGGTCGTGGTCGCTGCGGCACCCCGCGGCGGCGGCGCCGGCGGCCCGCGTGCCGCGAGCCGAGAGGCACCTCCAACGTGAAGTGGTCTGAGCTGCTGGTGCAGCGGCTGCGGGAGGGGCGCGCGTGGGGCGCCCCGCCGGGGGTGGGGGGTGGGGGGTTCTGTCAAAGGAGCATCAGGGGACACGCGAGGATCGCTCTCCCCCGGCCCCTCCCCTCTCCCAGACACCCCTCCTCTTCATCTCCCCGGCACCCCTCCTGCTCCTTCCTTGACACCCCTCCGTCTCCTTCTCTTTCTCTATCGCGCAGCCGCCTCTGGGGTTCCCTGTCGACGCCGCCCCGCGCCCTACGCGCGCGGTCGCGGCCGGGGCCCGGGCGGACCCAACCCGTTCCGAAGAGGCGAAGGGAGGAGAAGGGGGAGAAGGAAGAGGAGGAGGAGGAGGAGGAGGAGGAGGAGGAGGAGGAGGAGGAGGAGGAGGAGGAGGAGGAGGAGGAGGAGGAGGAGGAGGAGGAGGAGGAGGAGGAGAGAAGGATGAGAAGGAGGAGGAGGAGGAGGAGGAGGAGGAGGAGGAGGAGGAGGAGGAGAAAGGCCGCCCTGTCTTCTGCTCAGGCCGTCCCGAGGCCCATCGAAGGAGGAGGGGAGGTGGGAGAGAGCGGCGTCGTGTTTCGTGCCGAGGACGGCGTACCTTGCACGTCATGTTGTGCACGGCGTGCCTTGCCCGTAGCGCCGTAGACGTCGTGCGGCCCAGGCCTTCGGTAGCGCATGCTGGAGTACCATACCGGGCGACGACATCCATACCTATCTTCTGCACCCTGGCCAGGCCCATCCTGAACCCAGGAGCTGCGTATACGCCCTCCTGGCCAGGGAGCAGAGGATATGTATAGATTTCGTCGCCCCACCGTATTCAGCGGCTTTAGGTAGGCCGGTCTCACCGTAACTGTTGCGCCATCCGATCGTAGACTACGCCGAATTCCGAACAGGCTTTCGTCGAGGAGCATGTGCAGGAATGACTGAGGAACTCTTGGATGGCCCTCAGAGGCTGCGAGGTCGTATTGTCGCTCGAGCACATTTTTCATCGGGTCGTGATATTGGTAGGCTCGAGCTGTCTCTTGGTGCATGACGGCGAGCCGCTTCTGGGGTTATTTGTCGATGGGCTCGACGGTGCTTTTCACGCTGGTGACCATCGATCCCGATCAGAATGCCCAGCGCTCAGTGGTGGTATCCCACGCGCCCAGAATACCCTCGAGGCCATGGTGGTGCTTCTTGCCTCTATAGCCCGGTTACTCCGGCTGGCACTCCTCGTCGTAGTCCTGCGTGTTCAGGTACTTCGGTTTGTTTTTGTAGTCTGGCTCGTTCTGCTGGTGGTTATCGTAGCTCAGGTGGTTGCCCTCGTCGCCCTTGTAGTTCTTGTCGCACTGGTAGCTCTGCGGGAGGCTCTCGTAGTTTTGCTTGTGGCCTGCGTAGCTCAAATTGTGGCCTTCGTAGCTCCGCAGGAGGCCCTTGTAGCTGAGCTGGTGGGTCTCGGAGTTCTGCTTCTGGGCCTAGCAGTTCGGCTCGTCGGACAGTCGCTCTGTAGGAGGCTCTGGTAGTTATTTCTGTTGTCCGCGTAGCTCTGGTTGTGGCCCTGATAGCTCAGCAGGTTACCCTCGTAGCTCTTGTAGTTCAGCTGGCGGTCCTCGGAGCCCTGCCTGTGACCCTGGCAGCTCAGCGCGTGGTCCTAGTAGATCAGCACGTGTTCCTCGTAGCTCAGCTGGTGGCTGTCCTTACTCAGCAGGTGGCCCTTGCAGTTCAGCTCGTCGCCTTGGTAGCTCAGCGGGAGGCTCTCGTAGTTCTGCTTGAGGCACGCGAAGTGGCCCTCGTGGCTGTGCCTGGTGCCCTCGTAGTTGGACTGGTGGATCTCGGAGGTCTGCTTCTAGTCCTTGCCGTTCAGCTCGTCGCCCTAGTCGCTCTGGTGGAGGCTCATGCAGGTCTTCCTGCAGTCCGCGTAGCTCTGGTTGTGGCCCTGGTAGCTCATCCTGTGGCCCTCGTAGCTCTCGTAGTTGTGCCTTCGGTCCTCGTAGCGCAGCTGGAGCCTCTGGTAGCTTAGCAGGTGGTCCTCGTAGGTCAGCTGGTGGCCCTCGTAGCGCAGCAGGCGGTCCTCGTGGTTCAGCTGGCAGTCCTCGTAGTCCTGCTTATGGCTTTCGTGGCTTAGCTTGCGGTTCTCGTTGCTCAGCTTGTGGCTCTCATGGCTCGGCAGGTGGCTCTCGCAGCACGGCAAGTGGGTCGTGTAGTACTTCTGGTGGCTGCCGTAGCTGCGCTGTTGGTCCTCGTGGGTCAGCTTGTGGTCCTCGTAGCACAGCGTGCAGCTCTTGTGGTTCAGCTGCTGGCTCTCGCAGCTCAGCAGGCGGGTCTCGAGGCTCTTCTGGTGACTCGTAGCCGTGCGCGTGGTCCTCGCAGTTCAGCTTGTGGTCCCAGAGAGTCGTCTGGTGGCCCGAGTCGCTCTGCTGATGGCGGCAGTCGCTCTGGTCGTTGCCCCCGTAGTTCGGGTGATGGCCCGAGTAGCTTCCCTGGCGGCCCTCGCAGCCCTGCTTCTCGTCGCTCCGCTCGCGGCCCTCGCAGCTCAGGCGGTGGCTCTCGTGGCCCTCTGCTGGCGGGCCCCGTAGCTCGGCGCGTGGGACGTGAGGCTCTTCTGCTGGCACTCGTGGCCGTGCGCGTGGTCCCCGTAGCTCAGCTTGTGGTCCCCGAAGGTCGTCTTCTGGCGGCCCTGGTGGCTTTGCTGGTGGCTGTAGTAGCTCAGAGGGCACGCATTCTTCGTAGTCCCCGGGGTCCTAGTCGGATTCGTCGGCTGCCATGGCGTAGTGTTCTACGTTCTGGGTGTCCCTGTAGTCCTGCCGGTTGTCGTAGCCCTGCGGTCCGTCGTAGTCTTGGGGGTCGTAGGAGTACAGGTCGTCATGGAAAACACTGTCGTAGTAGTATTCGTTGTAGGCGGCGCGGCCGCAGTCGTACTCGTCGTAGGCGGCGCGCCCGCCTTTCGGGGTGCACGGTTGTGTTTTTCCTGGTGTCGGTCTTGGTGTACTTGGTGTCGTACTTGGGCTGCTTGCTACGAAGCTCTTCCTCGGGCTGCATGTTACGCAGCTTTTCATCAGGCTGCATGTTACGCAGCTCATCCCGTCCTGTAGTGGACGCTATCCTGAAGGCGGTCGTAGCGATGATTATGATGTCGTTGAGGTGTGCATGCTTGCCGGTAGTCTCCCCCGAGGTGGGTGATTTTCGTAGCCGACGTTGTGGATGTCCAGCTTGCACTCGTGCTCGCGCCGCCCACAGGGCGGTGCGCTCGGGCTGGCTCCCCCTTGCGCGGGTGGTGGGGGGCGTCCCCCCCCCCCCCCCCCGCAGGGCCCAGAATGGCCCTCCTTCTCCTTCTCCTTGTGCTTCTCCTTCTCCGACGCCCCTCCTGCTCCCCGACACCACTCTGTCGTCGTCCCTCGCCCTGTCGTGTCGCTTGGCCTCCGAGCGTCAGTCCCGAAGAGGTGCAGGACCGGAGGCCAGACGTGCGCAGAGCCCACGGGCGACCACTGACGCGACAGGTCGACGGCTTTCCGCTGGCCCCTCAGAGCACGCAGTCGGGCGCGGGCTCGCGGCTCCTGCTCAGTCAGCGTTCCGTTCCGTCGAGACCCTATGGCTGTTCTCATCTTCGTCCCAATCCACAGCCGTGGCCCATCTCCATCGCAAATCCCTACAGTGTTCTCTATCGCTATCCCCATCCCTTTCCCTTTCCTTCTTCTCCTGATCCTTTTTCTTGTCCTGCTTCCCCGCTCTCCCTCTGTCTCTCTCTATCTCTCTCTCTGTCTTTCGCTGCGTCTGTCTCTGTCTCTGTTTGTGTCTCTGTCTCTGTGTGTGTGTGTCTCTGACTCTCTGTCTGTCTGTCTGCCTGGTCTGTCTGTCTGTCTGCCTGTCTGCCTGCCTGCCTGTCTGTCTGTCAGTCTGTGAGTCAGTCAGTCAGTCAGTCAGTCAGTCAGTCAGTCAGTCAGTCAGTCAGTCAGTCAGTCAGTCAGTCAGTCAGTCAGTCAGTCAGTCAGTCAGTCAGTCTCTCTCTCTCTCTCTCCCTTTCTCCCTCCACCTCCCCGCTATCCCTCCTCTCCCCCCTTCGTCTTTCTCTCCTGCCCCCCTGCCGCAGCGCCTGGCCAGGAGCGCGGCGTGGAGCCCAACCTCCTCAACGCCCGCCCCGAGTCCGTGGCGCGCGAGAGCGAGACCATCGCGCAGGCGGGCCGTCAGGGCAAGGTCCGGCCTCCCCGCTGGCCCGAGCGAGGGCAGCGCAGTGGAGCGGAGCGAAGCGGCTCGAAGCGCAGCGGAGCGGAGCGCAGCGGAGGGGAGCGCAGCGGAGCGAAGCGGAGCGGAGCGGAGCGGAGCGGAGGGCAGTGGAGCGGAGCGAAGCGGAGCGGGGCGAAGTGGAGCGCAGCGGACCGCGCACCGTCGGTCCGACGGACTGGCCCTACGAGGGCAGCGCGGGCGGGCCGGGGGCCTGGAGGAGGGTCATGCCGCGGCCTTGCCGAGCTGCACCTGGAATTCAGAGTGGTCGGAGCCGGCGTCGGGGCGATGGGAGCCAGTGAAGAGGAGAGATGAAAATCAGAGGAGGAAGGGGTGCTAACTCCGCTGCCATTCCCTCGTTTTCGCCTTTTGGGACCTCCTGGAAGGCTCTCGTCGCTACGGCTGGATTCGCCTTGAAATTCTGTTCAGACCGTACCCCGTGAGAGGTCCAGGGAGTACTAGCGGTGTCGGTACATTTTTGTTCCCTGAGGCGGAGGGGGGAGGGAGGGACAGTGGACGGAAGAGGAAGGAGGGAGGGCGGGAGGGAGGGAGGGACGAAAGGCAGGAGGAGAAAGGAGGGTGGAGGGAGGGACGATGAGGGGGGGGGAGGGGGACGGGGAGGAACAGGAGGAGGAAAAGGGACACGAGCGCGATCATTAAGAGCTGGGTAGGCAGAGGAGGAGGAGGAGGCGGAGGATTTTCCATGGCTCTTAATGTGTCTGAGTGTACGGGCGACTATGCACCGAGACACTGGATGGCGCGATAACCCACCTTGCACCGCATAGGCCGTCGGGCTGCTCGTAACAAGCCGCCCAGCTCTTTGCCCCGTTGACCGTAGACGTCGGAGAAGGAGAACGAGGAGGCAGAGCATGTGCAAGTAAGAACAATCGAGTAACATTGAGGCGCTGAGAATGAATAGGATGAGAGCCACGAAGGAGGCAGAGGCGGATGCGGATGCTCTGGCGGAGGAAGATCAATCAAGAAGGAGAGATTCAGAGATGGGAGAGAGCGTGATCCACCGCCGCTTTACTGTGGAAAATTGCCAACCTTTTCCTCCGGAACCCGGGGGTTCTCCCCCCCCCCTCCGAAAATCCCCCCCCCCCTGCTGGAACCCCTCCCCCCCCCCCTCATCCCGGCAAAACCCCCCCCCTCCCCTAACCCCCCCCCCCCCCCCCCTCCCCCTCGAAAACCGGGGGGGGTCACTACCGGTTCGAACCCTCCCCCCCCTCCTCCGGAAAAAGGGGGGGGGTCACTACCGGTTCGAACCCCTCCCCCCCCCCCCCTCCGAAAACCGGAGGGGGGTCACTACCGGTTCGACACCCCCCCCCACGCACCGCCAGCAAACGACTCCCGGTCCCTACCACCGCTCGCATCACATCCCCCACTGTTGTTCCCAGCACCACTGTCCTCACCACCACTGTCCCCACTGGTTCCACCACCGTCCCTATTGTCCCCACCAGTGCCCCCACCACTGTCGCACTGTCCCCACTGTCCCACCACTGTTCCCACCACGGTTCCACTCTCCCCACTGTCTCCACGGACCCAACCACTGCCTATCCCCACTGTCCCCACTGTCCCACTGACTCCTCCGCTGTCCCACTGAGCTGTCCCACTGTTCCCACCACTGTCCCCACTGTCCCCACCACTGTCCCCACTGTACCTCTGTCCCATTGTCCCACCGCCGTCCTCGCCACCGCCTTTACCACTGTCCCCACCACCATTGTACCCTCCACTGTCCCACTGTTTCCACCTCATTCCCACTATCCCCACACCACTGTCCCCACCACCACCGTTCCCACCACTGTCCACTGTCCCCCCTGTTCCCACCATTGTCCCCACCACTGTCCCCACCACTACCGTCCCCACCACTGTCCCGCTGTCCCCCCACTGTCCCCACGACTGTCCCGCTGTCCCCTCACCACTGTCCCCACCAACACCGTCCCCACCACTGCCCGCACCCCCACTCGGTTTTCGGGGTGGGGGGTGGGGGGGGGGGGTTCGAACCGGTAGTGACCCCCCCACCTTTTCATGATGAGCTGGGGGGGGCGGGAGGGGTTCGAACCGGTAGTGACCCCCCCCGGTTTTCCGCCAGCAGCGGTAGAACACGCTCTTTCAGAGATGGAGGGTAGATGCGGACGCGGAGGAGGAGGAGGAGGAGGAGGAGGAGGAGGAGGAGGAGGAGGAGGAGGAGGAGGAGGAGGAGGAGGAGGGAGGGAGAAGAGAGGAGATGACAGGGTGAGGGTGGGGAAGCGGAGGAGAGCGGCGAGAGGGAGGGAGGGAGGGAGGGAGGAATAAGCAGAGATTGGGAGGGCGGCGCGACGAGATGGAGAAGGGAGGGGGGGATGGGAGGAGGAGGGGAAGGCAGGGAGGGAGAAGGAGTAGGGAGGAGGAAGATGATGATGATGAGGAGGAGGAGGAGGAGGAGGAGGCGGGAGGGAGATGAGAGATGGGGTGTAAGAGGAGGAACGAGTAGGACGATGATGGTGATTATGTGGAGGAGGAGGAGGAGGAGGAGGAGGAGGAGGAGGAGAAGGAGGAGGAGGAAGTGGTGGAGGAAAAGGGAGGAGGAGGAGTGAATAAGGGCAGGGTGGAGGAGGTGGTGGAGGAAGGAAAGAGGGATCACATGATGGTGATGGTGATGCTGATGCTGCTGCAGCTGATGATGATGATGATGATGATGATGATGATGATGATGATGATGCCGATGCTGATGCTGACGCTGAGATGCTGATGCTGATGACGATGCTGCTGATGACGCTGACGATGACGATGACGACGATGACGATGACGGCGACGACGACGATGATGCTGCTGCTGGTGATGATGCTACAGCAAATGATGATGATGATGATGATGATGATGATGATGATGATGATGATGATGATGATGATGATGATGATGATGATGATGATGATGATGATGACGAGAACGATGACGATGACGATGACGACAACGACGACGACGATGCTGCTGCTGATGATGATGGTGGTGCTGATGATGATGAAGATGATGCTGGTCATGATGATGATGATGATGATGCTGCTGCTGATGATGATGATGATGATGATGTTGATGCTGCTGCTGCTGATGATGGTGGTGGTGGTGGTGGTGGTTGTGACGATGATGCTGATGATGCTGCTGATGATGCTGATGCTGATGAAGATGATGCTGATGATGATGATGATGATGATGATGATGATGATGATGATGATGATGATGATGATGTTGTTGCTGATGCTGATGATGATGGTGGTGGTGGTGCTCGTGGTGGTGATGAGGAGGAGGGGGTGGTGGTGGCAGAGGGGGAGGATAGCGGACCCCAGCAGACCGCGCGCTGGAGGTCACGGTGTCGACCAACATGGCTGGGCGCGGCACCGACATCATCCTTGGAGGGGGTGGGGGAGGGATGTAGGGAGGGAGTACGACGATGGAGGTTGAGGATGGATCGTGGTGGACGGGGGAGCGAGGAGAGAGGAGGGATGGAGGGAGGGATGGAGGGATGGAGGAGCACGAGAAGGGCGATGATGATGAGGGTGACGAGGGCCGAGGACATGCTTATGACAATCATGGAGGATGAGGGCAATGGCGGAGGTAAAGGGTACAGAGGGGAATGATAGGGGGCGTAGGATGGGTGGATGAGTTCGGAATAGGTAATGACGATACAGACATACATGCATGCATACATACATGAACACACACACACACATCTCTCTCTCTCTCTTTCTGTATTCTCTCTCTCTCTATATATATATGTGCAAGTGTGTGTGTGTGTGTATATATATATATATATATATCTCAGTGTACGGGGTCAGCGGCCTTCGCCCAGCTGCCTCGTGTCGCCATGGCCGCTCTGGTGTTCCCCGGGACCCTCTCCAGCGGCCAGAGAGCCGTTAAAGACGTCCCACAGCCGGGCCAAGAGAACTCCGAGAATCGCAACAGACGGTCCACGGAGCTCTGGAACGTTCAAGTTCGCCTACAGTCGGCCTCAGAGGCCTCCAAGACGCCCCAAAGAGGCATCCGAAAGCACGTCCAAGAGGGCCCCAACACACCAAATTCATGTATTTTCTTTAACTTTGCTAGGATTTTCCAGTTTCTCTCAGCCTCGCGCAGAGGGGGTGGGGGAGGGGGGAGGGCTTCGTAGAAGCACCCCTGCTTCTTAGAAGGCGCGCGCCTCATCTATAGATGTAAGGCCGGCGCCTTCTAAGAAGCAGCCTCCTTCTAAGAAGCCCTCCCCCTCCCTCCACCCCCTTGTGCGCGCCGCCAATTTTCCCTTTTCGACCTGCCTGCGCGCTACCCCCCTCTCCCCTCTCCAGTTTCTCCCCCCTCCCCTCTCTCGTCTCGCCGTCTCCTCCCGTCCGCCCTCCCCCTGTGCCCTCCCGTCCCCCTGCACCCTACCCCTGCACCCTCCCCCTCCGCCTTCCCCTCCACAATTGCTCCATATGAATACTACCCTCCTCTCTCCCCTCATTCTGTCCTGTGCCGCCGTCGCCTCTGCCGCGTGTTCACAAGGGATTTCAGGATTCGATTTTTCCAGTTCCAAATGCTGTTCCCGCTGAAGCGTTGGCCACATTTCAGGATCGGCGCCTTGCTACCGTCGTTCAGACTGGCGCTCTCGCCCGAGCGGGAGGCACAATTCTGGATCCAGCCCCTTCCTCGTCGTTGCCGCGCTCTCCTTCCCCCCCCTACGGGAGCAATCCGAATTGTCGCCCCTCCGTCGGTAGAGCTCCCGGGCACCGTATCGTGGGCGCTGCCAGGCCGCACACACTTTCTCACATGTTTTCTGCTTGTGTGTGTGTGTGCGCTGCTGTTGTTGCTCTGATTGTTGTTTTTGCGTCGCGTGTTTGTGCGTGGGCGCTGAGGAGGTGGACCGGCCTCTCCAGCTCGAGGGCAGGCCCGGGCGAGCGAAGTTCGTGATGCAATCTTGTCGTGGGCTGGCTACGCTGGGGCCGCTTCGGCCCACCAGGGCGCGCCTTCTCGCCCCTGGGAAACGCCAGGCGCTTCTCCTGCCCCTGCTTCTGCTGCTCCTCGCCCTGCGGGTCCTCCTCCTCCTCCTCCTCCTCCTCCTCCTCCGCTCGCGTGCAACGCCCTCCTTTCTGGTTGCGCATCTCACGGTGTAGTCCTTTGTGGAATCCAGGTCCTCCAGGTAGACATCCAACATGCCAGCGCAATGTGGCAGGGGTGGGCTGTCAGACGCGGCGCGAGTGCACCCAGCTTGTCGTTTTCTTCCTGCTTTTCCCCCACCCACCCCCCCCCCCCCCCCCACCCCCCCCCTTCTGCCCTCCCCCTTCTCCCCTGCCCCACTCTCCCCCTCCCTTGCCCCCCCTTCCCCCAGACTCAAAGGGGGAGGCAGCAACCACACCTCCATGGCAGGCGCCTTCTCCCCTGCCCCACCCTCCCCCTCCCCTTGCCCCCCCTCCCCCTCCCGAGACACAAAGGGGGGGGGAAGGCGGCAACCACTCCTCCATGGCAGGCGCCCGTGGCGCAGCCCCGCTCCCCCCCTGCGCTCGCCGTGGGGCCCTCCTCGCTCTGCTGCCAGCGCGCGCGCGCGTCTCGCACGCTGGCCCGCGGGCACCCCTCCCACGGCGGGAGTGAACGTTTCGGTAGCGAGTCATGGGAGGAATCCGCGCGGACCTCCGATAGTTTGTGCTTGTTCAGGCAGTTCTCTTTTCTTCCTCGTCCTGTCTCCTTCGGCGGCTGCCGCTTTCGTTACAGTGTCGGACGACTTTGGGGTGCAGCCCCACACATCCGACGTGCCGCATGGCTGCCGCGGGGTGCGACGTTCTGCCGCAGAGTGCCGAGTCGAGTTGTTCGAGGTCAGTTGAAATACCCACTCGTAGAAACGCTGAAGAATGGCAATAGAGCGAGAGGCCAGTGGGAGCGATCGTGCTGTATGAGATGGAGTACAGTGGGGGCTCATGCTAAGAAACACCCTGCTTGCCTCCAGGGTGCCCTGGGTTTCTTGGGTTTCGATGATTTTGCGGTGGAAGGCGTGACGTTCCCGCACCAAGAATCCATGGACATCCTGGGGTCTCAGGGTTGGGTTTCTTGTGGAAGGTTTCTTGTTGACGAGCCTCCACTGTATACCCTTTCGATTCTGTCTTTAGCGTCGGCTCGCGTCGATTAGCGTCTGGGAGTCGATGAGATAGCGCCGATTTAGCATCGGTCAGCGTCGACTTAACGTCGATTTAGCGTCGATTAGCGTCGATTCGCAAGAGCCGACAATATGGTATGGGAGACTCCCGTGAGTTGCCACCGAAGAACTCTCGTGAGTGCTGAACGGGTTCGTTGCCTCCCTTGCTTGGGTGCCACGTGCTGCAGCACGGGGGCCTGGTGCGCCTCTCCGGGCATCCAGGCGGGTCCGATCAGATTGGGTCGGAGGATCGCGCCGCATCGCCGATGCATTGCCGATG